CAATGCACAATGTGCACACTGATGCATAGTCATAGCAATAGTGCCCAAAACTAAGTTTAGCCAAATATATTCATATTGTCTTTGACTCTATTACCCCCTTCTTCTGTGTCTTTGAGATGCTGGTCCTTTGAAATGCCCTGGGGTGAACAAAGCTCGGTCCTCATGGAGACAATGGAGCAGCTGGATTTCTGCACATGTGCCTTTGTGTCTCATCTGAGGCCTTGTCATAACTCGATCAGAAGGCCTTGCCCTGCCTTTGATCACACACTCAGAAACGCATGCACACGCGCACACTCACACATACACACACACACACACACGTACATTCAAAGTCACTGTTTCAGTCCAGGGAGATGGATGAGGGTACCAGTACAAAAGAATATTTGATTAGGTTATAATACCGCTACATGAAAGAGAACCCCAGCAGGGTGGGGGCAGAGGCCACAGCACCCAGCGGGGACACCCCCCACTGGGCACACCACGTCATTTCAATGTGGAGAATTGGGTAATATTTGGCTGATAGGTTGATCAATGAGATTGCAACCTATTTTCACCAATTCAAAAAGACAGCCAAAAGTTTGTTGAATTTCCAATGTGTTTTCACTATGCTTTCAACCATTTAAAAGCACAACAAAGTTCAAATGGGAATACTATGTCAGATATTTTGTTTATTTATACAACAACTTAATGTGTTATCACTGTGCTTCATCTAATAGCACAACCAAATGACCTGGATTGCAGTTGAGATTACATTAAAATACATGGTGCAAGTGATCAATGTCGTTTCAGAATCTGTGCAGATGATTATAGCAATTGTGAAGATCTGCAACCTTTGCATGCTATCTTGAACACACATGCTTTCTATGATTACATAAGAAGACATTTATTTTTACAGTAACCTCAAAATGTGGCCATGGATGAGTATGTGTTACTCATTTTAAAGTTGAATAAATACTGTTACATTAGTTTGTAAGATAGCCTTAACTTTAAGCTATTTACTGTATTACAAAAGTCATATGTGTTGTGTTTGGTTGACAACACAACCAAATATCAACATTTAAAGGAGCTGTATCTTCTGCTTGGATAGTTCCATCTATGCCACTGAGTCTGGCTTTAATTCAAGTTTGTCTGCAAATTAATTATTGATATGTTGGATTCATGTCTCTATTTCAACTAAAAATGTAAGTTAAAGAATAGGACTAAATCAAATCTAACTTTAAATGCATTTTAAATAGTTTGATTAGATTTTTTCCTGTTCTTTAACTTTGATTTTTGGTTGAGATGGAGACGTGAATCCCATCATACAGTGTATGTATTATTACCTTGTAGATTCCATTTGAAATCAACCAAAACTTGAAACCCTAGAACTATATGTATTGTCTATTTTTAGTTGAATTCTGGGCTGAATTTAAACAATAGCTGTTGATGACTTCCCAAATGTTATATAGTCCTCAATATCATGATTGATAAAGAATGGTTACATTTAATTTACTCTGATAAACCTATCCTTTGGAATGACTTCGATAGCAACAGTATGTGGACACCCCTTCAAATTAGTGGATTCGGCTATTTCAGCCACACCCGTTGCTGACAGGTGTATATAATTGAGCACACAGCCATGCAATCTCCATAGACAAACATTGGCAGTAGAATGGCCTGTACTGAAGAGCTCAGTCACTTTCAACGTGGCACCGTCAAAGGATGCCACCGTTCCAACAAGTCAGTTCGTCAAATTTCTGCCGTGCTAGAGCTGCCCCGGTCAACTGTAAGTGCTGTTATTGTGAAGTGGAAACGTCTAGGAGCAACAACGGCTCAGCCGCGAAGTGGTAGGCCATACAAGCTCACAGAATGGGACCACCGAGTGCTGAAGCATGTAGCACGTAAAAATCATCTGTCCTCGGTTGCAACACTCACTACTGAGTTCCAAACTGCCCCCGTGCACAAAGCGAGGTCCATACAGAAATGGTTTGTTGAGATCGGTGTGGAAGAACTTGACTGGCCTGCACAGAGACTTGACCTCAACCCCATCGAACACCTTTGGCCGACCCCATCAGTGCCCGACCTCATTAATGCTCTTGTGGCTGAATGGAAGCAAGTTCCCGCAGCAATGTTCCAACATCTAGTGAAAAGCCTTCCCAAAAGAGTGGAGGCTGTTATAGCAGCAAAGGGGGGACCAACTCCATATTAATGCCCATGATTTTGGAATGAGATGTTCGACGAGCAGTGTATTTTATACAACGTTTCTAAATGAAAATTGGTTACCATTACATAATTCCTGTGGTTGAAATTTTACCCTCAAAACAACAGTTTACATTGATGTCATTTTGCAAATCCAATATATTTTCCACGTAGATTCCACGTCACAATACGTTGACAAATTCTGTTGTAAGAACGTTGAGTGGCGCAGTGGTCTAAGGCACTGCATCGCAGTGCTAACTGTGCCACTAGAGATCCTGGTTCGAATCCAGGCTCTGTCGCAGCCGGCCGCGACCGGGAGACTCATGGGCGGCGCACAAGTCGTCCAGGGTAGGGGAGGGAATGGCCGGCAGGGATATAGCTCAGTTGATAGAGCATGGCGTTTGCAACGCCAGGGTTGTGGGTTCAATTCCCACGGGGGGCCAGTATAAAAAAAATATGTAATCACTAACTGTAAGTCGCTCTGGATAAGAGCGTCTGCTAAATGACTAAAATGTAAATGTTAACCAGTTTGTGCCCAGTGGGCCTCTTCATGGCCATGGCTTTTGTCACAGGTTAGCAATGAGTAACCGATGAGGCTAACCAAGGAGTTAGAGCTTTCCTTGGTTAGCATTAGCACAATAAATACATCTTCTCTGTTCATACTGTTCTGTCTCAAGGTATCATTTTCTGTTGGTCTTGCTTGTGCCTCTAACCTGCACTTTTTAGGTGTTCAAGCAGCAAAGCTCAGAGAAATGCTATTATATTTCATAGAAGTCATTATTATCTAAACGCCTTCTTGTTCATGTTTTTTTCTACTTTTGAGGAGGAAGGGATCCAAGACATGTAGGCCTATATTGTCAAGAACTTTCAAGTTAAGAATTTCACTTTAACCCTGTGTTTACTCATAATATGAGAGAGGAAATATGAGGACAGTGCCTTCACACTTCAACAAAGGAGGCTCATTTTGTGCCCATGCAACTCATTTTTTCCCCTTCTTTGTACACGCTTGTTTGACACAATGGTAAATTGCCGCGTATCTATTACCAACAACGCTTATTCTTGCATACTGATAGATCATTCTTCTTCTGTTAAGAGAAATAGATCACATCCCCTCCCCCTCTATCGTATGAGTGGTTTAAAGTTTCTCCTCTCCAACTCTGATTGGTCGACCAACTTGTGCTCACGGGCAAAAACTTCAGACGACTCTTCTCTTTACCCAGTACGATCAGGGAGGCAGAGTGAAAGTAGGGACATTCCGTTAAAAGTGTCGCTGAAAGTATCTTTTCAGCAAGAAAAGGAGGCTACCACGCTATGGAGGTTGTCGAGAACAGCAAAATACCATTCGCTTAGATAGGGGATAGTGTATATTCCCATGCGTAAAGGTTGAAGGGACTGCATCTTTGGAACATTAACTTTTTTCTCAAAGTCGTAACACCTACCAAAGGAAATGGCTATTTCTTGGATTTACAAAGTTTGGATCCTGCTACTACCCATTTTTGAAAGCGCTGTGTCCAGTTATTCGGAAGACCAATGCAGCTGGCGAGGGAGGCAAGTATAATTTTATAACGGTTTATTCAAGTTTCATTTGTTTTATGTAGAACCATTCACATTTTTTTTGTTATATAGCAAGGTGCAAAATATGTTTTTGTTCAGGTTAGTTAGTTGAAACAAGTCGATAACTTACAGGTTTTGGGCGCAATTAAATGTTTCCAGTGTCTTGCAACAAAGTATCGCGCCTTCGGGTTGCAGTCTTGCAGAGTGAGCTGCAGAGAGGAGAGAGTTATGCCGTTATAATAACGGATTTATGTGTGCTCAGGGGAAATTACTTGTCGTTTTTTGGAAAAGGATGATTTAATATTAATTGCACATTTTAATGAACATTTAAAAAACCAAATGCTAGGCCATGTTTTGCAGTTTAAATGACCACTACACTATGCAAAGTCAGTCACATTTTTAAATGGCACTGACCGGGCTCATTTGGTGACCAATAGGGAGCGCTTCTTCTTTTTCTCTGCAAATAGTTAGCTCAGTTCAATGTGTATTTTGAAAGCATGTTTTAATCGTTTTCAAAGGATGCACTTAAAATGAGTGAAATGCACTGCGAGGAAAATCTGTAGCTGAAAAGGTTCTCATCCATTTTAGCCAGAATTATTTGATGTTGCAAGCTTTCCCTCAGTCCATCTCAAATGTTGCCCACATCTAAAGCCTATACCCAAACCACACATCCTGCATTGTTCAGTGCAATTTCGACCAATGATGTATATAAACCCTATATAAACCCTGGATTGCTGATGCTAGTATTGAACATTGAGAGGCTTTGAAGCCACCTGTCGGCCATATTGGCACTCCCCAGTTGGAAGCAGTCCTCCATAGGAATGAATGGAATTTACAGTATTTCAATTAAATGTTTCAAGGACAAAATTACATTTATTTAAGTATTGTTTTAGTGGCCAGTGGGGACAGTAACATCAGTAAAAAATAAATTTAAATGTTGTTATTTATTTTATGTTTAGCTCATATAATATAATTTAAAAGTGTGCATTACGGTGTCTGTAATCGAATAAACGTGTCAAAAACGAATGTAGACATCAATAAATGAATTTATATAGCTTCCAAAATGTTTTTTTACAATGGAGGAGGAGTACCAAGATGGTAATGCGGTGGCTTCAATACAGCGCCCCCTGTCAGTCATACAGGGTTTATATACATCATTGGTTAAAAAACATTGCACCACATCCTACAAGTGGCACGCTGGTGACTCCAATTTCAGCCAAGAGGACAACTTCTGAGGACTAGTCTGTCTGGCTTGGAGGTCATAGGTGATGAAGTCCAATTATGTAACTTGGTCTCCCTCTTCTCTCTCCCCCTTTCCATCCCACAGTGGTCTGTCCCAGCAGCCAGGCAGTGTGGAGCAGATCTCCCTCCACTGCTCGGAGGGTGCTCTGGACTGGCTCTACCCTAAGGGGGCGCTTCGCCTCACCCTGTCCCCCAGGTTGACCTCTGCGGCGGTGGGGCCGGGGGGCAGCAGCTCAGGCCTGATCACGGCCTGCGTCAAGCCCTCGGAGCACTTCCACGGGGCCCAGCTCTACCTGGAGAGAGACGGGGTCCTGGAGCTCCTGGTAGGGGACCGTCTGGAGACGTCTCCCCCACCCCGGGTGCGCTGCTTCAGCCGCTTGCCCGGCGAGAAGGTGGCCCTCTTCCTCCAGGCCACGCCCCACCAGGACATCAGCCGCCGCATTGCATCGTTCCGCTATGAGCTGCGAGGGGATTGGACGGCACGCCTGTCACTCGATTCAAACCCCATCAGCAGTAATGAAGGTGAGTTGGAATGAGGAGGGAGGCAGCCATGCTAGATCAGTCTAGGTCATGGAAGGGTCATTTGGGCTGAAACAGATACACATAAAAGATTTCTCTCAATACAAAGCAAGGAAAATACAGTGTTGAATTTGTTTTGAATATGCTCCCTGAGGGTTGATGGGCCTAACAAACAACTTTTAGAATTTGTTTTAGCTCAGATTCGATAACTCAATTCTCCTCTCACCTACATGCTTCCAGTATTTCTTTTTGCATGGGTCTCTGAATCCTATTAAATTGCATTCTGGCAAACCTCCCCTAAATATGTTTCCTCACTCTTAAGCACAAACAGACCTTTTTTGGGGGGTTAGTTTTTAGTTTTCTGTGTGTCCAGGCAGAGGAGAGTGGGGGAAGTGTCCTCTAGTTTGCCTGGACACATAGGCCTACAGACCCTGTCGCCTGGTTTAGATTTGAAAGGGAGTGGAGAGAGGCAGAGAAAGAAGAGAGGGAGGAGGGTTAGCGGGACAAAAGCCCAGTATGTGGGGCCTTCTCTCCAGAGCCCGGAGCTCCTTTCAATGGAGCCTTCGCATGAGTGTTCTGAGATTACTGCCGTTGCCTTGGCGACAGGGAGGCCTCTGCCCCAGCTGAGATGCTCCCCTCATTTGTTGAGCTGCCCCTCTGTAGGGAGGCTTGTCTCTAAGAATACACCCCCTCTCCGCTCAAGAGTCTACACACACACACACTGGCTGGGCATGGGGGAGGTTTGCTCTATGGGCCAGGGAGGAGGAAGGAATCTCATTTATCAGACTTTTTCACTAAGAAGGGGAATGTGTGGAGGGGGCAGCTAGGAGGGGTGGTGGTGAACTTCTTGGAACTCACAAGGCCAGAAGAACTTTAAAAAATGCCAGGGTGTTTTTTTTTGTTGCAGTACAGTCAATTCAATGCAGCCACAGTTTGGTGGTTTTGTTTCGCTCTACGTTGTGGATTGGGTCCTTGTATGAAACGGAGGAGGATATTTTAATTTCCTCTGTGACGTTTTTAAAGTGATAAACAGCTGTGATTGAAGCCGTCAATCTCCTAGAAAATAAGTAAGTGCCTTCAGAAAAAGTGTAGAAGTGGAACTTAGCCCATTGAAATCTTTTGAAGTTTTCCACCCTCCTCTCTTGCCCTTGTCTGGTTGGCTTTGATGCGGTGTGGGTGCAAACACCCTAGCAGGGTCTAGGGGGGAAGTGGGGGCGGGAGGTAGGTGGGGTGTTTCATTTCATTTGGCTTTAAAAACGTCTGGGGCCAGTGGAGTTTCACTGGCCTTCCTCTCTAAACCGTAAAAGTAGCAACTGTCTGAAAGAACACTGCAGTTGGTCCGTGTGGGTGTATGTCCTTGCACAGTGTTTTGTTCCATTTGCATCACGATCTTTGTTATAAGCTCGTCTCCACCCTTTAAGTCTCCTTTAAGTGTGCAACAGGATAGGTTAGAGCTCAACACGTTTTTAATTTAAAAAAAAAAGTTTTTATATAGGTATTATGTGGTTTACAATATCACGAGGGAGTAAACCAATTTGAAAGAGGATGTACAGTGGCTTGCTAAAGTATTCAACCCCCTTGGCATTTTTCCTATTTTGTTGCCTTACAACCTGGAATTAAAATGGATTTTTGGGGGTTTGTATCATTTGATTTACACAACATGCCTACCACTTTGAAGATGCAAAATATTTTTGGGGGTGAAACAAATGAAAAGAAAACTTGAGCAAGCATAACTATTCACCCACCCCAAAGTCTATACTTTGTAGAGCCACCTTTTGCAGCAATTACATCTGCAAGTTTCTTGGGGTATGTCTATATAAGCTTGGCATATCTAGCCACTGGGATTTTTTCCCCATTCTTCAAGGCAAAACTGCTCCAGCTCCTTCAAGTTGGATGGGTTCCGCTGGTGTACAGCAATCTTTAAGTCATACCACAGATTCTCAATTGGATTGAGGTCTGGGCTTTGACTAGGCCATTCCAAGACATTTAAATGTTTCCCCTTAAACCACTCAATTGTTGCTTTAGCAGTATGCTTATGGTCATTGTTCTGCTGGAAGGTGAAACTCCGTCCCAGTTTCAAATCTCTGGAAGACTGAAACAGGTTTCCCTCAAGAATTTAGCGCCATCCATCATTCCTTCAATTCTGACCAGTTTCCCAGTCCCTGCCGATGAAAAACATCCCCGATGATGTTCTCGGGGTGATGAGAGGTGTTGGGTTTGCGCCAGACATAGTGTTTTCCTTGATGGCCAAAAAGCTCAATTTTTGTCTCCTCTGACCAGACTACCTTCTTCCATGTGTTTGGGGAGTCTCCCACATGCCTTTTGGTGAACACCAAACGTGTTTGATTATTTTTTTCTTTAAGTAATGGCTTTTTTCTGGCCACTGTTCCGTAAAGCCCAGCTCTGTGGAGTGTACGGCTTAAAGTGGTCCTATGGACAGATACGCCAATCTCCACTGTGAAGCTTTGCAGCTCCTTCAGGGTTATCTTTGGTCTCTTTGTTGCCTCTCTGATTAATGCCCTCCTTGCCTGGTCCGTGAGTGTTGGTGGGCGGCCCTCTCTTGGCAGGTTTGTTGTGGTGCCATATTCTTTCCATTTTTTAATAATGGATTTAATGGTGCTCCATGGGATGTTCAAAGTTTCAGATATTTTTTTAGAACCCAACCCTGATCTGTACTTCTCCACAACTTTGTCCCTGACCTGTTTGGAGAACTCATTGGCCTTCATTGCTTGGTGGTGCCCCTTGCTTAGTGGTGTTGCAGACTCTGGGGCCTTTCAGAACAGGTGTACAGTGGGGGGAAAAAGTATTTAGTCAGCCACCAATTGTGCAAGTTCTCCCACTTAAAAAGATGAGAGAGGCCTGTAATTTTCATCATAGGTACACGTCAACTATGACAGACAAATTGAGAAAAAGAAATCCAGAAAATCACATTGTAGGATTTTTAATGAATTTGTTTGCAAATTATGGTGGAAAATAAGTATTTGGTCACCTACAAACAAGCAAGATTTCTGGCTCTCACAGACCTGTAACTTCTTCTTTAAGAGGCTCCTCTGTCCTCCACTCGTTACCTGTATTAATGGCACCTGTTTGAACTTGTTATCAGTATAAAAGACACCTGTCCACAACCTCAAACAGTCACACTCCAAACTCCACTATGGCCAAGACCAAAGAGCTGTCAAAGGACACCAGAAACAAAATTGTAGACCTGCACCAGGCTGGGAAAACTGAATCTGCAATAGGTAAGCAGCTTGGTTTGAAGAAATCAACTGTGGGAGCAATTATTAGGAAATGGAAGACATACAAGACCACTGATAATCTCCCTCGATCTGGGGCTCCACGCAAGATCTCACCCCGTGGGGTCAAAATGATCACAAGAACGGTGAGCAAAAATCCCAGAACCACACAGGGGGGACCTAATGAATGACCTGCAGAGAGCTGGGACCAAAAGTAACAAAGCCTACCATCAGTAACCCACTACGCCGCCAGGGACTCAAATCCTGCAGTGCCAGATGTGTCCCCCTGCTTAAGCCAGTACATGTCCAGGCCCGTCTGAAGTTTGCTAGAGTGCATTTGGATGATCCAGAAGAGGATTGGGAGAATGTCATATGGTCAGATGAAACCAAAATAGAACTTTTTGGTAAAAACTCAACTCGTCGTGTTTGGAGGACAAAGAATGCTGAGTTGCATCCAAAGAACACCATACCTACTGTGAAGCATGGGGGTGGAAACATCATGCTTTGGGGCTGTTTTTCTGCAAAGGGACCAGGACGACTGATCCGTGTAAAGGAAAGAATGAATGGGGCCGTGTATTGTGAGATTTTGAGTGAAAACCTCCTTCCATCAGCAAGGGCATTGAAGATGAAACGTGGCTGGGTCTTTCAGCATGACAATGATCCCAAACACACCGCCCGGGCAACGAAGGAGTGGCTTCGTAAGATGCATTTCAAGGTCCTGGAGTGGCCTAGCCAGTCTCCAGATCTCAACCCCATAGAAAATCTTTGGAGGGAGTTGAAAGTCCGTGTTGCCCAGCTACAGCCCCAAAACATCACTGCTCTAGAGGAGATCTGCATGGAGGAATGGGCCAAAATACCAGCAACAGTGTGTGAAAACCTTGTGAAGACTTACAGAAAACGTTTGACCTGTCATTGCCAACAAAGGGTATATAACAAAGTATTGAGAAACTTTTGTTATTGACCAAATACTTATTTTCCACCATAATTTGCAATTAAATTCATTAAAAATCCTACAATGTGATTTTCTGGAATTTTTTCTCTCATTTTGTCTATCATAGTTGACGTGTACCTATGCTGAAAATTACAGGCCTCTCTCATCTTTTTAAGTGGGAGAACATGCACAATTGACTAAATACTTTTTTCCCCCACTGTATATATACTGACATCATGTGACAGATCATGTGACACTTAGATTGCACACAGGTGGACTTTATTTAACTAATTATGTGACTTCTGAAGGTAATTTGTTGCACCAGATCTTATTTAGGGGCTTCAAATCAAAGGGGGTGAATACATATGCACGCACTACTTTTCCATTATTTATTCTTTAGAATTTTTTGAAATAAGGTATTTTTTTCATTTCACTTCACCAATTTGGACTATTTTGTGTATGTCCATTACATGAAATCCAAATAAAAATCCATTTAAATTACAGGTTGTAATGCAACAAAAAATAGGAAAAACGCCAAGGGGGATGAATACTTTTGCAAGGCACTGTAATTAGCGTTTGTTTGATTAGTGGAGCTCTCCAATTGACCTTCTCTTTCTTTTTTCCTTCCCCTTCCCCTTCTCCCTCTCCCTCTCTCCCCAGGTGCCTGCAGACCCTGTAACAACACAGAGCTCATTATGGCCGTCTGCACCAGTGACTTTGGTGAGTTCTGCTCTTTTACAACCTCCTGTTTTGTTGTCCGGGCTGCCGTATAACAATAAAACAACACGCCAGACCAGGAACAGTTTGGTGTCACATTGAATTTCGTCCTCCAATTCAACTGGATTTGTACATTAACTTCAATACAAAATGGCAAGAAAAGACATTCAGTTGCAGAGAAAAAAGGTAATGATTTTGTGGCAGGATTGAGGAACTACAAATCGGTTGTGTTGAATCAGCTTAAAGTAGGGGTACCCCAGGTCTGAGGTTGGTGTAAATCCAAATCCTCCCCCCTCTGAACTACTTAATTTATTCAGAGGTCAAAGGTGAAACAGCATTACTTTAGCCTCTCTAGTTCCCTGAAGTTCCCCTAAACCCCCACTCCTCAAGGCACTGTAGTGGAATAATCCCCCCCCCCCCCCCCCCCCCCACCCTAGACAGTGCAGTGGACTAATCCGCATGGCTCTAATTGAGCCGTAATCAGGCTTAGTGGCAGCCCCTTGGCAACAGAAAGTTAGGGGGATTACAGAACTGTCCCAGGCAGCTCTCCATACTCATTTCACTGACTCTAATGTTAGCCTCTGGTGGGTTAGGATCCTAGTTACTTGTTTATTACTTCAGCTGTTTTTTGGCAGCTAAAGCGTGGCAGATATTTTCCAGTGATTACCAATATTATGTTTTTAGAATGTGAACAGCAGGTATTGAAGCAAATTACATCCATTCAAAGATGTATCCTCCACCATCTTAGTCCACATTTTGTTTAACTATGATTTTTGTATTTGTAACAGCTGCTACAAACAAATTTGGTCAATAGAGCTTTTGACTAACCAGTTTGTCTCTTCTCCCCACAGTGGTGCGTGGTAACATTAAGGCAGTGGACGAGGACAGTGAGCTACGGGCGGCTGTAATCAAAGTCAGCGCCACCCGAGTATTCCGCCAGAAATATGCCCTGTTTACCAGCACCGGCCGTTTGACCCGCTCGGGCGAGATCAGGACCCTGCTGCAGTGTGGTGTCCGGCCCGGGGCAGGCAGCTTCCTCTTCACCGGCCGCGTCCACTTCGGTGAGGCATGGTTGGGCTGCGCCCCCCGCTACAAGGACTTCCTCCAGGCCTACGCTCAGGCCAAGTTGGCCCAGCAGCTACCCTGTGAAATGGCTGTGGACTGAGCCGAACCACCCCAAATCCCGGCTGACTACTCCCTTGAAATGAGGCTGTCCTGTGAGGTAAGCCCTAACTCGATCAGCACCCCCCTGCCCGTCCTTTGGTTTGCCAAACCTCAGAGTGAAAGGTGAGGAAGATGGAAGCCTACCCGATGGTGTAGCTGTGCACCGACCCTGCCATGAAGGTCCCGTTGGATGCAGTCTTCCCCCAAAGACAGGAGTTGGGCATGGACATTTGTAGCACCATTCCCAGTGCAATATGCAGTCCTGTGGAGATATGAAGGACACTGTGGACTAGATGAGATTAAAGCATTCGGCACAGGACACATTTTCCAAAAGATTCTGGGCATAAGAGCTTTCCGTAACAACAAGCTGACATTTTTCAGGCATGGATACAGAGCTATTGAGTGACTGTCTTTTTATACTCAGGAAAATATGTGGAAAATTCTGTGGTGAAGTTACCATCTGCTTGGAAGTCACACAATTGTTATCCCAGTGTTCAACCACAAGGCTGTGTTGTTTTTCTATGGTGGTCTTCAAAATGGCCACTCATTTATTTCAATATTTTGTTTTGGAAAACTGGGGGAAATCTATCCTTTTATGTCCAAGATTTCCGCACAATTTTATAGTTGAAAGAAACAAATTGGGGACTATTCTCAGGGTTGCAATTCTTTATTGGAGATTAGGGAGGGTCTTTCTTTTTTCAAGGATAAAACAAAAATCTTAATTTGCACTGATAAGGGAAAGGGAATGATCTGGAAAGTCTGATGCTGCAAGCACTGAAAACCAAATGAAAACCTGACTATATGTAGCGTAGAAGAGGAGTGATCAGAACGTAATAAATGTGCAGATATTGCTAGCGCATGATAGTGCTAGGCTAGGGTTAGCACATGTTAACGCTAGGCTAGCACATGTTAATGCTAGGCTTGGGCTAGCGCATGTTAGTGCTAGGCTAGGGCTAGCGTGTGTTAGCACTAGGCTAGGGCTAGCGCAGCAGGTTCGAAGCACGATAAACTCTGCAAGCTAGTGATGAACGCGCTTTCACGACAATAGCCAACTCTGAGATTTGTTTTCTTCCGGAGTACACACAGGGTAATTATGCCTTTTAGAACCCTGTATAAATATTTTCTGAAGATTTTTATGATACAGTTCACTGTTTACTTCAAGACTTCATTGTGATATCTCAGTTTGGTTGGAAACTTTTGTAACTTTTTAATATCTGGGAAACATTGATTTTAATTTGCTGACTTTTGAAAGAAAAAAAATTTGAAACCCTTTTTTTTTTTTTTCGAGTTGACCATAATTACGTTGCAACACTGTTGCCCGTTACATACATTTTGTAGCTATTCATACCTATGTTCCAACTGTAAGCCTAAGAGAAATGCTGTCTGCAAAAAACAAGCTGCAAAATTCTACCAAAACAGATAATGATAATGAGATGCTATAAGGTCTACTGGCCCAGATTTATGTCATTGTTCAAAGTAAAATAATTGTATTAATTGAGTACCACAGTATGAGTCATAAAACCTGGAAATGGTTCCAATCGTTTTTTCACCATTAATTTTTCCATCTGGAATTTTAGAACTACTTGATATAGGGTCTGTGTTTTGTGTAGGCTTACCCTGGCTTGACGTTTTGATAACCGCGCAAATCTAACTTTTATAAATAATTAGCATTGCGCATTTTTTAGAATAAATTGAGGTAAATATATTGATAAAACTCACCTTGTCCGGGAGAGATTACACAGCTATCAAAACGTTACGCTAAGGTAAGCCTACACCAAACACACAATTAATTGAAAAATGAATGGCAGAAATTCCATTTGAACCATAACCATTTCCACTGTGGCGGACTATGGGAGTTTGGCTGGAAATGTTTTAAAGTTTGTGGGACTGCAACTGTTGACAACTGCAATATTCCCCTCAGTGAAAGTCCAATGGGATATGTCTCAAAGTTGGCAGAAGCAGTTGCATCCAGTAGCTACCTAACAAGCATACGTCCAAAATGTTGATAGCGATGTTGAGCCGTGAAAACCTTAAAAACAATGTAGTCCGTCACTACAGACCCGGGTTTGATCCCGGGCTGTATCACAACCGGCCAGAATCGGGAGTCCCATAGGGCGCGCACAATTGGCCCAGCGTTGTCCGGGTAATGGGAGGGTTTGGCCGGGGAGGCTTTACTTGGCTCATCGTGCTCTAGCGACTCCTTGTGGCGGGCCGGATGCCTGCAGGCTGATCTCGGTCATCAGGTGAACGGTGTTTCCTCCAACACATTTGTGCGGCTGGCTTCCGGGTTAAGCGGGCGGGTGTTAAGAAGCACGGTTTGGCGGGTCATGTTTCAGAGGACGCATGACTCGACCTTTGCCTCCCGAGCCCATTGGGGAGTTGTAGCGATGAGACAAGATTGAAATTGGGGAGAAAAAGGGAAAAAACTAAAACAATTTAGTCCAAATATCAATAATGAATTCTTAAAGCAATTTTAAATACTCTTTCAAACAGCTTTGGGGTTAGCAGTAAGCATCTCTCGACTAGCATACAAGAGTAACAAAAAATGCATGTCCATGGCCATGTTGGCCAGTCAAAATATGTTGTCTTATGTGTGCTAAATCGATGAAGGGAGCAGTTAACACTAAATTAAATGTATGTGCTGGAGCGGTATGTACAGAAAAAGTGCAATACTGCCATGTTTGCTGATATTGTCAATTGTTTCTATGTGTAATTTTGTGTTAATACCAATGTGAATGTTATTATGTATATAAGAAATTCTAGAAACAAAAAACTACTTATGGAGGAAAGTGTTTATATGTGGTCTGTGATATAAAAAGTCTGAAAAGCACATTTGAATGTTATGGATTTTTTTCTATCTCTGCATGGTTGCCTCTTCCACTAACTATATAGTAAAGTTATATAGTTTTACAGTTGTCCTCTCTCATGCACACATCTTAAAACAAGTCACACTACAGATGACCATGGTTGAACAACATGGCCCTATATTTCATTACATCGATTTAAACCCCAACCTCTAGTTGTCACTTAGATATATTTGGGATAAGGGTCTGAGACTTTTCCAACAATGTTAAGTCACTATAAGTGTCCTTAACCCCGATCCCTGAGGGCCCAAGACGAATGGCTTGAATGAAAGCTAGATAGAGCTAGAGATTTAGAGCAAACAGACCCTGTGGGCTGCAGGGAGGGAGGGAGGGAAGGAAAAGGACAGTTGGAATTCTGTTGTGCTCCGACTCCCGTTTTCAGGATTCAGGAAGCAATAAATTCTCAATAAGGGAGCGGTGTTCAGAGCGGGCCGGAGGAGCAGAGGTGCCACACAGTCGCTCACTGTGTCCTCATGGCAGTTTGACAGGTTTAAAGGGCTATACACTCCCTCTCAACCAACAGAAAACAAGACTGAGCACATATACACTGTCACACTCCGAGTATTATTACTGGTTACCAGGACTCTAAATAAAAAATGTTCATTGGTAGAACTGGTGCGCCCAACTTAGGAGCACAACATAAAATTTAGGAGCACCAGAAAATACATTTTTTTTAAATTGATTGAGATATAGCCTGTATGAATTCTAGGTACTTCTGAAGCAGTGGTGTCATTAGGCCTGGGCTTCCGGCACTTCAGCCCCGGATGTTTTTGATCAAGCCCCGAACCTTTTGATGGTAAATTATACAATAATATTTTTTTTACCATTTCATGTCTGATATGAGTTTCCATAACCACACATCAGTTGCACTTTGCAGTATAATATATATATTTTTTTTTACACATTTCTATGACAAAAATAAACAATACAATATGCTGCTCCAGGCAGTAGCAGGTATTGCAAGAAGCCCCTGGAGTGGCGCGGTGCCTGCTGTGATTGGTGGAGATTTCACAACTCAGTGGACTGCTCACATCCCTTGACCCCTCCCCCACCCCTATCCTGTTAGATGTCAATGACATCACTCAGCAAAACACCTGTCACTCAGTCAGAGTGCGGCATAGCACAGAGCAAATATGGATATTCAGAACTTCTGAAAGAGTGGCCAAAAAAACAAGCAGGTTGAGCAGGTTGAGGCAGCAGTGAATGAGATGGTGAGGGCAGAACAGCCAGAAAGGTCAAGTTCAGCAGCAGCAGCAGAGTTAGCCACAGGTTTGTGCAGGGTTGGTGGTAGCTAACTAGCCAGTCTCCCTCCGCATAAGGGTTGGCTAATGCTAATAAGCAAGTGTTAGCGCTCAGCATCCTAACGATATTGGGTGTCAGTCAGAGTTATTTAACAGTATATTGTGAATGGGCAAGCTAAGGATGTTGATATAACTCCTGATATTAGGGAAAAGTGTTTATTTCCAGCGAGTGTATTTGATGGGTTTCGTTTTTGTAGCTAGCTTGGTTAGCTAGCCACTTCGGTAGCTACTAGCTGGCTAGCTAGCTGAGACCAAAGGGATGAGAGAAAAATTTTCTGACAGAAGCACATACACTATATATACAAAAATATGTGGACACCCCATCAAACCAGTGGATTCGGCTATTTCAGCCACACCCATTGCTGACAGGTGTATAAAATCGAGCACACAGCCATGCAATCTCCATAGACACACATTGGCAGTAGAATGGCCTTACTGAAAAGCTCAGTGACTTTCAACGTGGCACCGTCATAGGATGCCACCTTTCCAACAAGTCAGTTTGTCAAATTTCTGCCCTGCTAGAGCTGCTCCAGTCAACTGTAGTACTATTATTGTGAAGTGGAAACGTCTAGGAGCAACAACGGCTCAGCCGTGAATTGGTAGGCCACACAAGCTCACTGAACGGGACCGCCGAGTGCTGAAGCGCACAGCGCGTAACAATCATCTGTACTCGGTTGTAACACTCACTATCGAGTTCCAAACTGCCTCTGGAAGCAACGTCAGCACAATAACTGTTCATCTGAGCTTCATGAAAAAACACCACAAAAAAAATGTATGCACGCATGACTGTAAGTCGCTTTGGATAAAAGCGTCTGCTAAATGGCATTTAAATTTAA